GCCTTAATAACTAGAATAGGGGTTTGGGGCCGGTTACGCTATAATTGTAATATCCTTGCTGAATTCTAAAATAGGGGCCTTAACATCTAGAATAATACTATACTTATAATACCCCCAACCCAAAATAGTAGAGGTAATTATACAAGGCCCCTACATTACGCACTCAACCCTAAAGCCAAACTGTGGCCTGAGAGTTTGCTAGGGCTTAGGGGTGGGTCAAGGAGTCTGCGTGGAAGGGCTCGGGTTTTTTGGGGTGGAACTTGCCGGTTCGGGGCTTCACGTAGACACGGTTTAGGGTTTAGGGTTTAGGGTTTTAGGGTTTAGGGTTTAGCGTTTCAGGATTTCAGGGTTTAGGGTTTAGGGGTTAGGGTTATGACTGATCTGGGTTGCGTCCGGCTTCTGATTCGAGCTGCCCGTGTCCTCTGATTCGGGGAATTCGGGGAAGATGTCAAATCCTCTTTAGGGCTCCCCTTAAGGGCTCCCCTAATCGCTCTCTTTAAGGGATCCCTTAAGGGCTCTCTTTAAGGGATCCTTTAAGGGATCCCTTAAAGGCTCCCATAAGGGCTCCCTTCAGGGCTCTCTTAAGGGCTCTCTTTACGTTCATGGCTCCAACTGCCAAGCCGGAGAGACCTGGACCCTAAGCTCGAACCCCAGGACCTACGCCTTCAAAAACCCTAAACCCCAGACCCTGACGCCCTAAACCCTGGGTTTAGGGTTTAGGGTTTAGGGCTCTAGAGGTTTAGGGGTTTAGAGGTTTAGGGTTTGGGAACCCAAAAATTTCGGGGTTTAGGGCGTAGGGGTTTAGGGTTGAGGGACCACAACCCTGAAGCCCAACCTCAACCCCTGAAGCCCTCAACTCAAGACCTTCCAAAAGCCCCATCTCCCTAGGGTTTAGGGTTTAGGGTTTAGGGTTTAGGGTTTAGGGTTTAGGGTTTAGGGTTTTGGGTTTTGGGTTTTGGGTTTAGGCTTAGGGTTTAGGGTTTAGGGTTTAGGGTTTAGGGTTTTAGGCTTTAGGGCTTAGGGCGGAACCCGGCTCCTCCAAAGCAGCCACGGCTGCGAGGAGGCAGAGATCGAAAGCATTGCCATCGTAGTTTAGGCATATGATGTGCAGGTGAAGCACCTTAGAGCTTAGGTTGTGGAGTTGAGGGTATAAGGTTCAGCCGGTTCAGCGTATAGGGCTTAGGGTTTAGAGTTCTGGATTGAGGGTATAGGCTTTAGGGTGACAGGGAGACATATGATGTGCGGGTGAAGCACCTCGGCACCCGTTTCAAGATCCCTTTAAGGAAATGTAAAGTCTTTACCGGGGCCTTATAAAGCGTTCCTACACCCTAAACCCTAAACCCTAAACCCTAAACCGCTTTATACCAGATTTTTCGTGTCGTAAGGACCTTGGTGTTTCTAGTGGACGAAAATCCATGACGAGCCATCTACGACGCTTGCCATGGGCTTAAAGTACTAAAGGATACGGCAGGATTATGTCCGCCAACAGTTTAGGGTTTAGGAATTAGGGTTGAGGGTTTAGGGTTCAGGCTCATGGCATACTTTGGGGGTTCAGGTGGAGGCGTAGGGTGCAGTGACGCGCGAGGTGTAGTGGTTTAGAACGATCCTGCATCTAAACCCTGTTCAACACGATGTCTTCAACTCAAACCCAAACCCTGCAAGCTCAATCCTGTCACAACCCTAAACCCTCAACCTCGAACACTAGACCCTAGACCCTAGACCCTAGACCCTAAACCTTAAACCCTAAACCCTAAACCCTGAACCCCTGAACCCCTGAACCTTAAAAACTAACCCCGCAGCCCGACAACCCAAGGCGCCCAGGTGACCTCGCCCTTGCGCACGCTCAGTTGCGCCGGATCGAAGACACCAGGCGAGTTGAGGACGTCAGTCAGTGTCGTGGCAAGGAAGGTAGTGATGCCCAGCCTCAATGCTGTGCTTACT